TATCGTCCTATAACGCTTAGTAACATGGACTACAAAACACCAATGAAAGTCCTCGTTAGACGATTGCAATTCGTGATCACGAATGTTGTGGGGCCGCAGCAGATGTGCTGCATACAGGGTCGAAGTATCTTAACTAACATTCATGTCGCTCGTAGTACTTTGGAGTGCTGCGACTCAGAGATGAAGAAGGTTGCGATGTTACAGCTAGACTTAGAAAAAGCCTTCGACCGCGCGTCTTTAGTGTTTTGGAACATATAGGGATAGGGTCTGTAATTTTGGGAATAGTGCGGATGGCGTACCAAAACTGTACAACGATCTTCATTGTCAAGAGTGTAAGCGAAGTCATCCCTGTCAAATCTTTGGTAAGGCAGCGATTGCCCGCTATCACCACTATTGTTTGCTTTGTGTATAGAACCCTTCTGTTTGCGCATTATTCATGAACAAACGCTCGCGGTTTTACTCTGAACACGTGTGAAGTCCAAATACTGGCTTACGCGGATGATATTGCGATATTCTGCGCGGACACAGAGTCTTAAAAAGTATTCGAAATCACAAAGACCGTCTGCCTGCAAACTGGCTGTTCATTGAATTGGTCAAAATGTTTGGGTTTCTGGCATGGCGAGTGGCCATCCAAGCCGAGAGTGAACGAAAATATCGAATGGGAAACCGTACGTACGACCCGCTATCTAGGCGTCCCACTGGAGTGTTACCGTGATAATGCCCATTTGTGACGAGAAGAAATTGATGAGTTACATGGTAAAGCAACGCAGAGCGGTTGCCGTCATATGTCAATGTTCGCACGCGCCACGGTGTGTAACTTATTTTTTGTTGAAAAGGTATGGTATCTACGTCAAGTATTGCACTGTTCTCGTATTTCCATTCAAAGGTTGCATCGTGTTTTCGCGGTTTTCGTTTGGGCCTCCTTTTGGGAACGTACCAACCGAGCGAACCTCTTTCGACATGTCCGATCTGGTGGCCCCTCTTTGGCCGATCTTTTTATTCCACAAGTTGTTAACCGTTCTATCTTTCTGCGTGATCAAACCAGCCCCTTTTTGCGCACGATTTTTCTGGTTCATTTGTGTAACGCCTTACCTGATTTTATCGTTTCGTCCTGCGACGGAGGGTCTGGGCCGCTAAGTGCCTATTTAAGAGAAGTAGTTGGTGCTTACAGATTTTGTTATTGCTCGCTTTTTGTTAGAATATTTGTCCAATGTGTCACGAAAACGTCTAACGAAGCATTTAATAGAAACGACTTTTTCACCTCCCATTTATCAAATGCTGTACAGTACTCTCCCTGGGTATGATGTACTCTGTCGGGTTAAGAAAATGCTGGTACCCGCTAATATGAAAACGTTTTCTTTAAATTACATGCTGGGACTGTGTCGGTTAAAACATGGTTACATGAGAAAGCTAGGTGTGCACGTTCCCTGGTAAGGTGAACTTTTTTTTTGTAAGCAACCCGAAACTATCTAGCGTGTTTTCTTAAACTGCTGGAATGCAATGTTTTACTTGGACATTCTTCAGCGAACGTTGAAAAAATATGTTCCTTGGAATGGGCATGAGATACAGTTTCTGCCTGTGGATGTCACAGTCTCTGTGCCATATGATTGTATTATGGTCGCAGGACTCTACAGCATCTGGAGGAGCCGCATGAAAGTGCGGCATGCAGATGTTGGCGCGCGACCTGTGTGCCTGTATTTTACTGAGAGCATCCTGAAAAGTAGGGAAGTGTACAGCTTTTCAGGAGATGGCCCAGATTGGTTGACAGTCCTAGAAAACCTGCCTACAATAAGCATTCCACGGTCACCGAATTTTCACTGACGTGTTTGTGGACAGCGTATCTGTATATTAATCAAATGTACACCTGGCAATAAATAAATAAAAAAAAACACCTAAAAGTACCTCAGTGGAAAGATGTCCGCTTCATATGCAGCGGAACCGTGTTCGATTGCCAGTATCTACCTTTTCTTCTTTTCTTCCCAAGCATTTTCCGATATTTACATTTCTTTTTCTACAATTATCACTGAAAAAAAAAATGTTCTGAACGAAACGTCGCTGAACTATATGGTATGCGATTTACTTTTCGGCACCTGCGAACGAAATGTAATCACTTTCCAGAAAATGCAAGGAGTATATAAATCGGGTAGCATCCGCTTTCTGAGGTGCCCGCAAATGTTCTACAGGAATTGCAGCCAGCCATTGATCGCGACACGTTGATCTTTCGGAAACTTGTGCAGACTTCTGCCGCGCAATGGCAGTTCTTTAGGACCCAGGACATCTGAAGGAGTTCTTCGCGCAACATCTTGGGGGTATTCTTTCCGGAGCCGATAACAAAAATTTACCACGGGGACTCTATACTCATCTCCAACTTTTCAATGTACAAAAGAACTCATCTTGAAGTACAGAACAGCCAGCGGAACAAACATACCTGCAAAGGAATCGCTCGGCAAACAGTTCTCGCCATGCAAATCGCCTGCTGCGCTCAAAAGAAAAAAAAAATGGAGGGGAAAGAAAAAAGCGCGCGGTCGGGCTTAGCGAAAACTAATACGTTTGAAATATACCACATTCTAATTTGAGTGTATTTGAAATACAGTTCATAATTGTAAGTACACGAAAAATAGACCGAAAATATAAACTTTTTTTTTTACTTAGTACTAAAATATACTTCTAAAAATCATTTTAAAATACCGTTACTTAAACTACATTTGAAGTTCCCTTCATGCGTTTTGAAATATGTAAATACTAAATTAATAGGAACAAAATACCTTTCACATATATTTCTTGAAATATTTATATAATTCATGCAAAATATACTCCATCCCTAGAAAAATAAAGCAATCAAAAATACGTGCAGAATACTCTTAAAATACCTGAAAATCGTAAATACTGTTGTGTTATACTCTAAGTGCCTTTTGACTGCAATACTTTGGTAATTTGACTTAAACTACCAAAATATTGAAAAGCTCCTGTTCTAGAAGTTCACTTCAAGCAGATATGGAGTACACTCAAGCGCCTAAATACAACATTTGATTGGTTTGTCAACTGCATTGCGCAGCATCGCACTGATAAATCAGCCCAGTTTATGTTATTGTTTCCTTTTTTCTATCAAGAACACACCTGATCAGTTCTTTGCACACCAATCACAAACGGGGTTTGGGAACTACAACCACAACATTTGCTGATGCTGGAAAGCTTCAGCAGGTGATGTGAACAGGTACGTTTGGCGTGGTTTTGTTAGCACAATGTTAGTTCACTGAACGTGTATACTCACCAGTGTACGTGATGTGAATAGTGACTTTAATATAGTGACATTAACTACCATATTAAATAGTCTACTACTAAAAAGGAAAGTCAAAATAACTACTGTAAAATACTTATTTTTCGCGGGCTCAATATTTCGCGATTTAGGTCAAAGTTGGAGTTTTGGAATAGTTCGCACATTCTAATTTTCGCGACCCGCTGGGATTGCAATATAGATTTTAATGTTTTTTTACATTTTGCTGGAATTGTTCACGGGACCTATTTTTCAGAATTGTAGGCGATTCGCGAATTTTGCGAGAATTAGGTCCTCACGAAAATAAAGTCGTTTACAGTATTTTAAAGTGAAGAAACTGCCTTGATTCGCTTCGTCCTGAGTTGTGCTACGCAGAGAAGCAATAACATGTATTTTATGAGCCGTTTGTGTGGATATTGTTTTAGGGGCTGCGCCGAATTGTTATTAGTTGTATTAATGTTTTTTAGTAAGAGATATCGTCCACGAACTCCAAGACACTGTTTCCCCTTTGACAGACTCCCGAGGAGAAGATCGAATACTTGGAACCTTAATAAGCGCAGAGGTGGTCACCGAAAACATTATTATACCTTCAATATGTACGCTATATAAGGCTCTAGAGCAGTCAACCGGACTGTGAATGAGCTGTTCAGTGCGTCATGGTGTTTGTGTTCGTTTCTAATGTAGCTTTGTGAGATGTACCACAGGGACACGATTTGCAGGCAAAATCGAAAATAAAAAAAAAAATTGTGTAACCGGTTTTTAATGCACAAATGGCATCTTGAGTGTGAAGAGATAATATTTTTGGTATATCTAAAATATTTTTTGATTCATATTTCTAATGTATTTTGAATACCTTACGCGCGTATTTCGAGTGCGGCCAAAATATTACTGAATAAATACAAAATTAATATTCGTATTCAATATATTTCAACTTCGTTTGAAGTACGGTCTCTTTTTGCTAAGGGTATAGCCACGTGACTTCCGCCCCTCACTCTCTCCTCTCCACTTCTCCGACCTCCGTGTGCGGGTTTCAGTTTTGATTTCGAGCAGTTGCGGTTTTTCGGCTTTAATAAAAATGTACGCGACTCTGGAGCAAAATATCAATTGGGTAGTGTTGCGATGCCCATAATGAATCACACTCTAAAAAAAGTCTGTGTGTCTGCTTTCCCGCACACCACTCGGAGAACCAATCGCCGCAGATTGCGGGCGCAGTTCAGCGAATGATGATGCCGAAACATATGTTTCGACCAAAAAACGCCGTCTGAGTTGTGACATTAAGCAATGCAAGCGTGACGTTTTGCATTGCTTAATGTCACAACTCAGACTGCGTTTTTGGTCTAAACAGATGTTTCGGCGTCATCATTCGCTGCGCTTCCTCCGTAAATTGCGGTGATTGGCTCTCCGAGTGGTGTGCCTGAAAGTAGACTTACAGGCATTTTTTTAGAGTGCACGTGGCAAGGAATGAAAAAAAAACATATTTGCGGGTATCCGTCTCCCTTTAAGGCGTAGGGCTATGCTAGCCTACATATTTTTCACTGTTTATAAAGAGGCACGTAAGGTGAGTATTAAACTTTAAAAAATAGCATAATTAGATCCAAATGTATGCTCGATGAGACCGTTACAGTATTTCCATATATAATTGGTCGAAAGCCAAACATGATAGCTTTCGCCATTGACGATCCGCCCTACGTAGCGCTGGTAGAAAATGCGTGGCAAAAGTACTTACAGCAGCCACAAGTACACCGTAGTAGAATGCTGCAGTTAACGGCTTCTTTTGTTTCCTGTAACTGCCAGTATCCACCATCATCAATATTTCTGGGCGCACCGTGTCGGGAACTGCGAGAGGTGGGAAATGATGTATTTTTATATGTTTTTGGAAAAGGCGAACGATTCAATGACGAACAGGAACCACTAACTAATATGCAAATTGAATAGGCGACCTGTACTTTACCTTGTATATCCCTCTCCTTGATGAGTTGAGCGGGTTGAAGTGGCTTATCTGCAAAGTCTAAGAAGTGTTTATCCTTATATTATTAGATTATCAGACAGTATTTGTAATATATTTTTGGTAAATGTATTCGTGTAAATGAAACTGATATACATCTAGTGGAAAAGGCAAAAGAGGCTTTTATTATTGAGCTTTGTTTTTCTCTACACTTACAATTCTTAATACATAAAACCAAATCGCACATAGCAACGAACATAAAAATGACGGAATGATTTACTCACAATCACCCCGTGTATTTGAAAAGTGCTCTTCATCTTCAAAAATTTCGTGTGGAATGCGTCCGGCACTAGACCTCCCAGTAATACCAACCGGTCTTATTCGTAGTGAGTCACGGATAATTCCATGCTGTGAACATGAGAGACAACAAGTCATTTACTTAATGAAAGTAGTCAAGGCATAACATTAGTGAGCAGTTTTTTACAGTCAACGTTTTGTGTTTTTAGAACTTCTAATGAAGTAAGCCAGATGAACTCGCAGCCCCAAAAAAGACCCAACGTGTTTTGGCGGAAATAAATATTAGTAATTATTTTTTGGCAATACTGCAAACTAGATACGCCATACACCTATGGGTCATCTAGCATGACAAAAGTATTTTTGCGACATTGCTTATAGTGATATAGTGACGTTTTGTTTATCAGTGAGTTGTCTTTTATCAGAACATTTCATTTGCCAAGAATGGGTATGACTGACTTGTTTGAATGACTAAAATAATGGTTACTGGGCAGGCGAGCTGGTGAACTATCGCAGTGAAAAAAACCTTGAGACTATAGGGACGAAAATGGGACAAGACAACACTTTCTCAAAACTCAGCTGCAATATTTATGTTTCCGTGTTAGAGTTGGTTGAGTAGTTGTAATCTATATAAAACAAACGCGTTAAGAAATCTTTAGTTGAGATTTTAGACTGTGGTGTCGAATTCATTGTCCCTAGTCTCAAGGTTTTTTTTTTTTTTTCCTTTGTGAATATTTCATGCATTGTTTAATATTTTGACCAATATTCTTAAGCTAGAATATTCGTCCAGGGTAATTGAGTTTTTCGAGTCGAGAGGGCACATTACCCATAAAAGAAGTCTGACACCCCCGTGGTACATCGTTTACATTGCCTCGAAGTGCGAAGCAAAATGTTCTCTTGCGCGCGAACGCACCACTAAATAATTTCTCTGTCATCTATTTTGATCGCGTATATCGTAGAAAAACGGAAAATTTTAGCAATTACGCTTATTGAACTTGCACTATGCCCCATCTTCTGAGAGTTCAAATGAAGAGCCTGAAATAATTGTAGCAAGCACATCGCCCTTTCAATGCCTATTGCCTGCTTTCGGCATGACAACTGAAAACTGCTGAACTAGCTGCACTGCGAGTGACCAAACATTAGTGGTGGCTAGAGCAAGCAGGCATATTTTTCTCGTGAGCTTATTTTCACTAAAAATCAGAAACATTGAACAGACAGAAAATTCTGCACGTAATATAATTTTGATTTCTTTATTTTATTAGAATGTTTTATCTTTGATAGTTTATGGCGCTCCACCACCGGAGGTGACGTCAAGGTGGGGTCTACGCAAAAGAATAGAATCCTCGCCTGCCATTCTTCGATGCAAGCGGCAAACCCCTTTGCGGACACCTCCAAACCAATCACAAAAAAAAAAAAGATTGAGATAAAGAGTTGAGAACTTCTTATTTTACGTCATCAAAATAATACCTCAATATTTCAACTAGTTATGAAAAGCTGTGGTGTCCTCCACACAGCCACGGCACCTATTACTGTTACTGTTTGTGATCTAGCGCAAACGACTGCGTGCACTCGAACCTCAAAGAGAAGAGGCTCCCACGGGTCAACGCGTGACCACCGAGCGAAAAGCAAGAAAATGGCAGATGGTCGCTCGTCTGCCGATGTTGAATCGCAATGTTTGGCTTGAGGCTGAAATAATCTGGTATATTTTCTCTTCAGCTTCTACCGTTTCAATAGTTTTTACGACACCTACCCCGGACAGAGAGTGGTTACCACATAAATAGAAAATGTACTGAATTGTGGCTCGTCATCAATGGTTGTCTCATAAAAACGAAACAAACAAGACGAGAATCACGCCCGTGGTCTTGTCATAATTTTTGTTTTTGATCAGCGAAATATAGGAAGGATTTAATTTTGTCTAGTATATGTCATCGATTCGGTTTAAAACTTTGCATTTGTGTGGTTTTGATTTTTGCTTGCTGCAACCACACCGTTCACGATAATTTAAATGCGAGTGTGATATGTAAGAGTCATTTAAAGGTGTTTACGACAACGTAAACATTATTTGAGAGTATAAAAGCCAATTTAACAAATTAAATGCTAACAAACACATTCATAAATAATTTTTAAACCAAGCACGTGTGCATAACAAGCCGTTCCTGCAATGCAATAATAGGTTCATTTTTTCAAAACTATGCTTTGGTTTATCGGCATTGGCAATTAACACGCATTTGTCGCGTGGATTGATAAAAATGTGTTCAATATATTTTCAACAAGTCCCCCGATTATCGCAGCACTTTGTTGTTTTGTTTTTTCTCTAGATACAACTCATATTGCGGTATTTATCTAAACAATAAACAAATATGAAAAACACAATTGACGACGCAATTAAACACAACGGACCCCTTGTTTCCTTGGAAGAGTGGAACAAGGGGCACAAGGGACAAACATAAATCTCCAAACACAGCCAGTTGACTAGCTGTGACAGCTAGGTGAAAAATCCGCCTGTTCTCGGTATCGAACCAGGGAATTCTCCAGTTCCATTTGGGGGCTTTACCAACTGAGGTAACTAGGAGCTGGACGTCAATTGAGCAAACGAGTTTTAACAGCAGCCACAAGTCTAACACCAACAAGGTCGAACAGCTTGCATTTTTTAAGGTTAGGATTTATAGTGCACTTAAATGCAAAGGTGCAAGCGAGTTGGAGAAGGACGAAAATAATACCTGGAGAAGGAGAAAAAGGGGGGCAGAAAACGAACACAAATCTCCGAACACAGCTAGGTGGCTGGCGAGCGACCGAAAAAATCATCCTGGTCCTGGTGGTGAACCAGGGACCTCTCCATTTCCAGTGGAGCGCTGGAAATGGAAAGGTTCCTGGTCCGATAGCAGGACCAGGCGCATTTCTTTCGGATGCGCACCAGTTACCTAGGTTGTGTTTGTAGATTTGTGTTTGTCCTTTGTCCCCTTGTTCTCATTTTCGAGGTATTATTTTTGTCATAAAAATATATTGTCACTGCAATTTTTTAAACTAGAATTGTTGTTTAGGCGCATTCTATGCAGTGGCGAGCCACCGATGCACAGCATTAATATTCGCAACAGGGAAACGTTAATTTCAGGCTTGTAACTTTAATGCAGCTTACGTAACCATGCTGGCTGCGCATTGCATTTCTTTATAAATTTTTGACTCTATACACACTTTCGAAAGCAATTAATTTTGCGCTATATTTGCAATCAATGTTTCTTCAATTCTAATGGCTTGTATTATAAAATCTCCGCATAGATATATATTTGAGCCAACGAGTTACAGGGGCTTATAGTGATGAACCGGAATTTCGAAAGGGGCGCCCTCCGTTGCCACCATGTTTTACGCAAAAGTGACTGCTCGTCACGGGACCTCACAAGAGCCGTGACGTCACCGGTAAGATGGCAGCGGCCAGGGCTGGCGAATGCAAGTTTGTTCGGTGCGCGGTACCCATGACGATCGTGAGGTTCCGATGCTTTTTGGCGATTTCGGGCTTCTTCGTGCTCTCTGACGCAGGTATAATGTGAAGATATGAAGGAATAACACATTATACCATTTTTGCGCAATATCGCTCTGGATCATTTGCGTATTAACAACTGTGAGACAGCATCAGAAGTATCGCCGTTCCCGTGCTTGGATTCATGGATGTGTTCGAGAATCTATATACTTTTTCATGCTTTTAGCATAAAATTTTTGCATTCCCTTAGTTTGCTTTGAACGTTGGAATGCCTGAGACTCGATGCGAAATGTATGCGTCGGACGTAGGGCCTAGGGGAAGTTGTTTTAGCCCTAGGTGACTGCACAATCACAGCAACTTTTAGCGAGGAAGCTCCGGCGATCTTTAACCTTTTGTGCTAATCGACGATCCGACAAATCGGCAGTTCTCAAAATTTTGATATAACATGCTTTCATTGCACTAGCTTGCATTTGATCGCAGTACTTTTTTTAAAGTGAAATGCTTGCGTCACACGAACTGTTACCAAGCGTTCAAACTTGTCATTCGAAAAAAAAAAGAAGACATTATTTACGTCCATAAAAGAGTTCACTTATGTCTTGGAACTCAAAACACAGTTAGCAAGTCTTGACAAATTTGATTGATCAGTGCACAAAATGTTGCATCCGATGTCCCTTAGAAATTAGTATTAGTAGGCTCTTTACCTTGCCGATCGTTACCAATAGTTCACGGTAACTTCCATGCGTATATTAGACTCCTCTCAGATGGTGTTCTAATCCTTCATTCTAACATCTAGAATCTTTTAAAAAAACGCAGCCCCACTTTTGAGATGTCCAGAGATAGCACCGCACATATCATTAATTTGTTAAATCTAATGCAACGCAGAAATAGAAGACTAACTGCACAATTTTATCTTTTGTAGGATTTATTGCAGCCGTAATTTTTTTTTTATCAAGAGTGCATTGTATTATTCGGTCAATTATTTACTCGTTCTAACTACTTAAAAAAGACGACTCGTTTTTGTGCTCCTCCCTTGGCCGAAGAGAAGTTTTGTTGCAAAATGTTGACTACATTCCTTTCAGTCTCTCCAATAGACTTTTTTTCAAATGTGTGGGCCGCCTATACTTAGTTTCACCGTAACTTGGTAAAGTCCAACCGCCAGAGCCCTCTCGAGCCATTCAGAGAGACGGAGTGAAGGTAGGCGACGCATCTCTGCAGAAGAAGAGCACTCTGATGATTTGTTGTCACATGCCGCTTTCCAACATGCATATTGGCTCACTGAGACTGTTGCCTTCGCCGTTTGGCGAATTGGGGTGAAGTGAATTATAGTAGCTACTACGCTAAACACCGAAGGCCTTCATACTTCTGGCATTTGTGCGACAAGGATGTTATGTCAGCAATCAGTGAATTCAGCTCGGAGCCTATTGGACTCGAATGCTGTATTAGCGTTCGACGTGAACTGGAACCCATTCATATGCTTTACGCTGAAGAAAAAAATAGGGACAGTCAATATTGTTTGATGAGGATTTGAAAAGGGTCTATTGTGGTATACGTCTATGAAATGTGCTGCTATATGACAATCCATCAATATATTCTATTAAACTACATGCTCAGAGGTGAGTTCGTCTTTGTAATTAGCAAG